AGTCTGCGCGGTGAAACTATGCTGCTCAGCAGCAGACAACACCTGGCTGAGCTGAATAATTCTTCGTCGAACATCCTCATTACTAGTATGATATTGCCATCGTACTCCAGCAACGTTCCGGAAACGGCGGTGATCAAAAACGGACAGTCTCTCAACATCTTTGGCGCGAACAAGTTGTCTCGCAGTTGTCTCTCCCAGGGGCACTGTAAACTCCACCGATGAGAGATTTAAATCGCCTTGATGCCAGAGATGGCGGAGATTAGCCAAAGCAGCACGAGCGGTGGAGATGCGCAGACTTTAATCACTAAACCATCAGCGCTGAGGCAGCTTCTGAGGTAAACGAACTTGTCTACCGCTTCGAATGAATGAGTTGAAAAGATAAGGATAGGAGCAGCGCCTAGCCAGTCCTGCAGGAAGAAATTCACTTTGATGGGGCGAAGGTCATTCCAACCTACACAGGACATTTTGGGCGGCCTGTGAGGAATCGCAGATTACGGCGATGTTGTCTGCATGCTCCAAATCCCAAAGTCGGTTTCCCAGAAGCAGCTAAACGCCGCTGGGTTAACAGTTCTCCAGAGCGCTCTCCAGGATTTCGTCCATAGCGAGATTGAACAAGAAGAGGGACGCTGGGCAGCTATGTCACACGCCACTGGTGATACCAAAGGGGCGAAAGTCCGCCGTACGCTCGTACTCGGCCCGAGGTTTGAGAGTAGATGGCTTAAAGAAGGGTGACATAGTTCTCGGGCTCTCCCCTTCTCAGTAAAAAAACCCCCGAGAGGAGCTCAGTCAAAGCCAAACGCGACTCGTATGTGTAGTAGGACAACGATCGTTGGCCGGCCAAATGTTTGTCAACTCTCAAGTCTTTGGCGGAGTGTAAAGATGTGATCAATGCAACTCCGACCTGAGCGGAACCCAAGTTGCTCTTCGCTTATGGTCTGTTCGCGTATCACACTGAGCCTCGTTAAACGCAGTGCGCCGAGCGACTTGGAAGCAACACAGAGGACACCAATCCGTCTGTAGTTGGCGCAATCAGTTCTGGTACACTTTTTGAAGACCGGCACGCTATCCGCCAGGTAGTGAGAGCCTGGGACTATCCCAGGTGCTGGAACTGCTCCGTTTTAGTCCCACTTTTCACGGGAAGCATAGGTTTGGAATGCAGCAGTCACAGACGCATCAGCTTGATCTCAATTGCTTCTAAGTTAAGTCGTACTGCATAGACTGATTGACGCTGATGAAAGTCGTAGCAGTCTGGAGATTCCCAGATTTTCCTGTGTAAAATTCTAACTAAAATTATCATTTCATTGTACACTTAGGCGGAATATTGCGTTGCATGTTGAGTTCGATTGTTTGAATCGACTGCCGCCATACTTTGGCGCCTTGGCTCGTCCGGCCTCTGCATGACCTCCAAGTGTGCTGTGCCGCTGTTGTTCTCTTTAGCTAGCAGTGTCAAAGGTATTGCTTTAATAACCAGGTGAACAGAGAACCATTCCAGTACTAATAAAATTGTCCCTGCTACTCGATCTGCCTTTTGGATCTGCAATCCGGGCTCCCGCTAGAAAGTCAGATTCATGAAGATCAAGCCGGGTTTCGTCGAAGTAGGGGCTGGAGCATCGCCATATCTTGTGGCAACCCACCGTAGTCGTATTCCTCAGCATTAGAGGTGCGTTCAATTCGGTGCGTCAATGTGCCCTTTGGGATTGTTTGATCAGGAAAGGTGTACCCGATAAATAAGTAGACGTTATAAAAGCGCTTTAGGCGCGTAGTTCTGGCAAATGAAACCATATGGTAAACTGTCGCTGCCCATCACTATCTCCAGCAGCGTAAAACAGGCAGGCCCACTGCCACCTATACTGTTCAAATTCCCCATCGAAGAAGTCATGGAGGATGTGTTCACTGGACACGACCTACAATGTGCGTGATGTGACTGGCCGAGGACATCGCCCTAATCCCTGACTGCAAGCAAACGTGTCAAGCAGCACTGGAGAAATTGGCTCTGACTTAATCGTTTCGGGCTATGCTTTGCGCCCACAAAATGTAAATTCCTTCTCCAAGATTGCTGGGGACCCACCTATGCGATGGCCCCTGATGGAGATCAGCTAGAAGTAGTCTAGAAATTCAAATACCTAGGCAGCTATATTGGAGGCTGTGGAATAGATAATATTTCGAACCGCACGGCGCTTTTGACAATCTACACCACTTGTGGCGCAGGCGTGACATCACTCTCGCCCTGAAGAGCAAAGTTTGTGATGCAGCCACCCGTTAAACCATACTGTACGGTTGTGAAACCCGGCACGTCAGGTCGACAGATATTAAGAGGCTGTGTTTGCAGTTGGGCTCATGTCTGGTGGGAACACAACGTGAAAAACGAGCGTGTTCCGCGTCTCGTATTTGGTGCAAAAAGAGTAAGCGAATTGCTCAGCACCGTTATAACACACTCTAGGCTCCAATGGTTTGGTCACATGTTGCGCAGGTCAGCTCACCGACTCCCGCGATGTACCTCAATTGTGCGACCGCGGTCTGGATAGAATATAAGAGACCCAACCTAGGAAGTGGTCAAGAGGAATGAAAACCCTAACTACAAACTTGGTGTCGGTTAGTGCCTTTCGACTGCCACGCTGGAGACCCAAAGATGATGAACTCGTTTGGTTGGATGCACTAGATGACATGGTGAAGAGCTGACCTCTATGGCATTCGTGTGGTGAGTTCTTAGTCCCTCCATCTTTAGCTTTCCTCCAACCACGAGCTTATTCTCTGTGTATAGCATTCCATTACTCGCATTTTTTGTTTGTTTTGTTTTCCGTTTTCTCATATATCTTATCTTGAATCGTTGCACAATAGCAGAGGAGTTTCTCACATTTAGCTAACATTTAATGACGATAATAATGACAGAACACAGACGAAAATTATTGACTGCATGTTCGTCAGACGGTAATGGCAACGGGTGTCTTCGCGTGGCAAATCAAAATAACAGTTGTAGCAATGGGTCTCTACGCATTTCTGGAACCTCTGGATGTGCGGATACGTGAATCGCTGATCCAGGGACAAAATCGCGTGCCAAAGTGAAGGGAAACCGTGAAGACTGATAGTCACCCTGCACCGTAGATGGAAAAGGCCGCTGCTCTTAGTAACTATCCGAAGTTATTCCATCGTATAACGGAAAAGTAAAGCATGAGACTTAGGGCAACAAAAGGCGTTGGCAACACACCATGCTTCGCTGCGACGCGACGGCCAACAGTTGTGCGTGGGGTTAGTATGCTGCGAGGTAGCCCACATCTACACAGATTCGTGCCGTTTACCCTTGGATTGCAAGGCAAGCGCATTGTCCTTTCGGCCACCGGCCGACATAATATAAAGAAATCATATGCGACGAGAGGGGAAATTTAATTTCCAATTTGTCAAAATGCTTGAGATTTAGGGTTTGTCACGTCCCGAATCACTGCCACCGAACCACTTGAAGGAACGGATAATCCCGAAATATCCAGTTGGCATCACAAGGAGGTTGTTCGGTAAAACAACCCGAGAAATTAATAGCACGTGGGTACGCAGTACCGACGCTTCGCTGCCGAGCAAACACCAAAGTCGCACATGGGCTAACGTTTGTGATACTTAAGGCCACGGGCCTAACCCAAGAAATACGATAGCGTTACTAGAGTTCCTTACACTCGTATTTCGAACAAAGTGAGAGTCTGTGATAAGCTGTTGTCGCCTCTCAATATCCCCATCGGTGTAACAGAATGATGCGGCTGTCTCCTTCTAACATCGCCATTGACGAAGTCTTGAAAACCTCATTCACTGAACAAGACTTGGAAGTTGCGGATCTGCTCCCAGGTGACCAAATCAACTTGGAGTATACCGACTATCTTGATACAGAAAGCGACAGCGCATAAACCTGTCAAGCAGTATTAGATAGACTAGCTGGTAGTGTTTTGTCAAAATGCAAAGCTTTTTCCAGAACTCACAGGGAGGAGTGTTAAAATCGACTCTTGGTGGAATCCACTGGTAAACGCTCAGAAATTAGACTACCTAAGTGACCACAGCAGCGCTTGAGAATAGGGGTCAAGTTCACAAACCATATAGCAAAACCTCGGGCTGGTTTTACTAATCTTCGCCACCTGTGGCTCCGGTGGGACGGCACTATTGCCCTGAAGAGTAGAGCCAACAATGCAGCTGTTCGTTCAAACATACCATGTGATCGTGAATACTAACCAATCAGATCGACAGATGTTAATAAGCCTACTGTGTTCGGCCGCCGGTGTCTTGGTAAATCAGTTCGTATCTGGTGGGAACACCGCGGGATCGACGAGCGTGCTCGCAGTCTTGTTGGCGCTTTAAGAGCAACTAAACCTCAGCACTGAAGTTTTACCCACTGTGTTCCGATAGTTGGGGTGTTATGCATACAAACACATCAACTCCTGTGAAGCGCGCTGTTCGTTCGACCAGTATGGGTGGAATAAGAGGGGAGGCCAACGGGCACCTTGGTCACACTCCGAATTTGCATTCGGTTGATGCCTCCTAGATACCGGGTTAGGGTCCGAAAAACAACGAAAAAGTTGGGATTGGGAAGCTTGTTTACGAGGCAAAGTCACTTATGTTGAGTTTGTATTTTCCCTCCCCTCTTGTAGTCTTCACACCCAAAGACTAGGCTTTTCTATGTATAATAAAGAGCATTGATATTTGCCCTTCTTGGTTTTGCTCCGTTCTCTCTTAGTTATGCGAAAGTCGTGTTGCCGCATGGGGTTTCTCCGATGGGGTTTCGCACTGTTAGGTAACGTGCGTAGAGCGGGACTAAGTAAATGCCAGGCTTAGAAATTCCGGTATACTACAAACGAAATGAAACGAATACTAAAACTATCTAAGCAGGTTAGATGAACAAAAGTGGCGAACGAATCACTAGCAGTGGATCAAAAATAGACCAACAACTAAAAGCTGAGATACCGGCAGTGCGAAATGGTAACTAAGGTTGGAGGTTAACGAGAGTGGACACTGCAGCAAAAACGTACTGATTGGGTAAATATCTCAGGATTCTTCTTTTCCAGCATGTCTTCTATCTGATCCTCTGAGAAGGAAGAGCCAGCTGGCTTATTAAGTCTAATAAAGAATATTACCCACGGTTAGTTTTCCCCGTATACGAGCTTTGCACTTCTCCCTATACTCCAACTGACATTTACTATAACTGTTCATAACCTGGATAAGTTGCCTAGAAATAGCCGCATGCTATAACATACGGGTTCGTCAGATATAACCACACTACCTGATTTAACTTGATGCGTTCTCGAGCATTCAAGAGCAGAGGGTCTTTATCTTCTGAGGCAAGATCAAAGCCTGAAAAAGAGCATAAAGATAAACTAACAGCAAACTCTTGAGTTCCGATCTAACTGCCATTGTCTTTTCCTTTATTAATTTTGTAATCATTTCAAGGCGGTAGTCCAGGTCTGGGTACAAATGTAGCACAGGTCAGCGCATACTATCGTTTTGTTGAGGGCTGGCCAAAATATCTTTCTGTACTTTCTGAAGTTCGTTCACATGACTTCGCAGCTCACCGATATTATGCAGTAGGTCAGAGGCCTAGTACGTGAAATTTTAATAAGCACCTCACATTACTGGGACATATCGAGTTTAACGGAATCTCCTCCTTTTGTTTCTCGTTCTTCTGAGCATTTGGAATGCGCTTAATCTATCTTCTTAGAATCACATGAATAAGCTCAACAACTACCCTCTGCAATTCTGTCAGACGATCTTTCACCATGCCATGAGACCGACCGATTCACGATACGTCAACGGAAGGAAAGTTGCTAAGATTGCTGAGTACACGTACACCTAACGATCAAAGTAAGGCTGTACATATAACAAAAAGAATTGTATGCTAAATTTGTCAACTAATTAATGAGGCAGGTAAAAGTAAAATACCATATACTGCTTTGGTGTTGAGAATAAGCAACAAACTTAATAGTTGTTATGTAATATTTTACATCGAATTCACATAATTTTCTAACGCAACTTAGTGTTTTATGCTGCCAGGTTTATTTCAGTTAAAATTATATTATATATTTTCTTTTTGATTTTGGTTGCATGGAACTTAATTGCCAATCTAATTCGCGCGTTTTGTGATTGAATTGCATCCCCGGACCATCATCCCTGTGACCTTTAAAATCAAACTGCGAACGTTCAAAAGGTCATGTTCCAAGGACGACACCAGTTCTCAATAAGCGTTTTTTTCTTACCTTGTGCCGGCAAGCTGACAACAGCTTTGGTACATCGGTATAGTTAATTAAACGCGCTTAACTATTTAGAATAGTCTATTTAGAACTAAACTTATAAGACGCCAATGAAGAAAATGAGCCAGGCTTCATCCTAACGCCTAATTTGAAATCCACGCAGGAAACACTAATGGGTAACCGCGGCAAGCAAGTAGTTTTGTCAGCAGTTGATCCTTCTGTTAGCTAACGTAGAACAACTTCAGCCTCCTGTGCATTTCTCACTTGCTACCGATTCCAGAGTATGGTTTGCCAGCTACCTTCGCGCTCTCTACGCTAAAGTTGCCTTAATAAAATAGGTCCATATAGGTAAATCTAAGCCCGCGACCGTGCTTCGCGATCTCCCCTATGCTTTTCGGCTTCAAAAGGTGAATTTGTTTTCCATGGCATACTGTATTCTTCTTGGAGACCACATCTACCAAGCGCAAACCAAGAGGTTAAATATGGAATGAAGTGAAACAGGTTTTCCTGCTCAACATAGCTGGCTTTGCACCAGATCACAAATAGAAGCTGTTCAAAATGAGAAATCTTATATTTCGCACCGCTGTCACCCTATCCACTTAGGTGGTGTACGATACCGTCTACCTGTCGCTGTGGTATTGCACCGTCCGCAGACATTTGCTAGCGGTTATTCGACCCTCATCTACGGCGGACACCAGTACCGTGCTGCTTTAATGCGATGACGTTCGACGTTATACGTGATTCTATTGCTGAGCTGGAAGAACAGTGGCAAACATAGGACATCATTTCCGCCGAGTTCAACTCAATAAACTAATTGAACCTCCGGAGTTAGCATCATGGGCCATAGCACCGATATCCAATAGTCTAAGCGGGGCTAAAAGGGACGGAGAGTTCCGTATGCCTTTCTAATTGGACGGAAGGACGTGTCAGTAACCTGTATGGTTTCCTTTCTTCTTGCTAAGTCTAAAATGAGGCACTTGCATCACACCCTGGTCAACCGATTAATGTCATCGTTCCCTGCATTAGCAGTCCATGTAGGTAAGTTTCGTAAAGTAGGTAAGAGATAGGAAGAAAATATAACGTTGTTTGGAAAGGACATGTTAACGTAAAGGGTAATACAAAGGGTTTGCAAAGATAAATTAAATAGGAAAATTATGAGAGTGTAAGTCGTTCAGAAAACGGAAAATTTTTCTTGTCGCCTCTTAATGGCGTTTGTTGACACTCAACCACTATGACAGTGGATACCCTGACAACACTAGCTGCGCAGTTCAGCACACGATTACTCGGTGCTATAGCCGTGTTTTCGGTCTAATGTGGTTAAATAGTTGCTTGTCCTGCTTCATGAAATTCTCGTGGAGACCTGACAAACATTTGAGCCAAGCTGCTAAGCCAACTTCAGGCTAACCTTTTTAATTTTATGACGGAAGTGTTGGATTAGGTATACCCTACTTCACATAAATACCTAAATAATGATATATTTCTAGGCTGTTGCTAGATGCCGTTTCCGCGCCGATCAGATCATTAGGTAGACAAATCCCATTCTAGCAATGAGATTGAGAATAAAAGAATAAAATGTTTATTCTCGGGAAAATTGAGGCTATCTGTGTCAGTTATAATTAAAAGTTTAACAGTAGGTAAAAAGCGTCGCATTCAATAGGTAGTTGCGTATTGAATGCACCATTAAACTTAAAATGTTTTAGGGTGCTTTTCTTTTAACCACATTATCCTATTGGAAACATGTAGCCCACAAGCGCTACTTTGCCCTGGGAAGACTTGATACAAGTCATGGACGCACTAGTACAGTACAGCTGCACAAAAGCCGATGAAATTGTTACCAACCTATCAGCTGCTAGGGTCCCAAATGATCGTCAGATTGGCGACAACAGCCGTAACCTTTAGCTGCTTTCTCCTATCTTGCTTAGAGTGAAATGTGGAATAGTGGACGGCACCTAATTCAACCGGTTAAATTACTTGGGGAATTGCACTATCATCCAGCACCAACACTAGAGGAATCAACCTCTCTGATACGCAGCATTGAACACTTCCAGGTTTATAAGTAACCGTCCTAAAGCGGACCATTCCCACATTTTATCCAGATATCCAAGTAATTCCAGAGCTCTTGTTCACTGGTTGCACCTCTAGAGCCCAAGGCAAAGCTTTTACCTAAACTGCGAACAAAAGCGGCTCTAAAATAGCGCTATGCATGGTGCCACTAGGGACAGGTTTTGTAAACAAAAATCCGCTTTCCACACGCAAGCTTTTTCCGTCCAAAAGGAAAAGACGACACCTACTGAACGGCGCGGATGGGGGAAGGCATCAAATGCTATTGCGTGGTTAATTAACAGCACGCCTGCAGCATTTTCACTGTTTGTGGCTTCAGCCCAGCTCTCACGGACCGCCAGTAGATATGTATCCACGAAATCCCTTGCAAAATCCGTGTTGCGCAAAACTGAGCAATTTATAGGATTCAAATAGTTCTCCCTGGATCTACTTACTGTGTTTCCGAGTAAGTTAGCCGCTGGGCTAGTCAAAATAACCGGCCCTAGAATTAGCCGATAGGTTAGTCACCTCAATCCTTGGGGAAAAGACGCAGGTATTTGCTGAGTTCAGAAACATGTAGCTGAACGGGCTAGGTAACAGAACAACCACCCCGTGGTGCTAGCTGTGTTGTTCGGATTGAACCCGTCCCAGCTAAATATTTCAGCGGCAGTGTTCTAGGACTTGGTGAGTTTTCGCCTGTCATACTTTCTCCCCAAAAGAGGCCACAAACGTCTGTTTACCAACTGTGTAAGTACTGATTACTGATTACTGGTTAGAAGCAGCTGGAAGAGCTTGCTCTGTCTAGCTGCATCAATCGTCGCTCATGGATATGTACCCGTTATGTGGTGTTCCGCTCTACATATTTTGCGTCGGCAAAGTGTTTGCCAAGGAACTTCGTGAATTCTGACACCGAGTTTGCTCTACAACGTGTTGCGGCAGGTCCTTCCATAATTTTACCACTCTGGTTTTGAAACAGTGAGCTATCCGCTTGGTGGTTGTGACCCGTCACCAAATAAAGGCAACCCCCGGCTTACCCAGACAACCGTTTCAAGTCTCGACACAAAAGACATTTACTGGCGACAATAGCAGAAGTACAGGAGGGTATCTGCATAACTTATAAACACAGCAACATACTTATATGCACAGACGTATATTCACATAACAACATACATGAAAATCCTACTGTTTTATTGTATATCAACCGACCACCCTTAGCATTCTTACTGTGATCACGCCTGTTCAGACGATCCTGGCCTAGTCGGGAATAAACAGTTATTTATTTATGTATTTACTGTCAGGACCCCTACTGGGTTTTGAACGGATGCATGCACTACTTGCCGTTTAGAGTAGTGGATCATTCCGTGTATGCACAGATATTCGAGAGCTTATTCAACATTTAATTGTGGATCAATTCCCCCGGTCTTCTGACGACGACTTGATGGTAAGGCCTACGAATGCCACACTTGGTTCAAAGCTGTATATTCGCAGTTCATATTATCACATTAAGCTGACTCCTGTTGGCCGACAGTTGAATGCTTCCCTCGAGCAAGCCGGGTTGCACCAGCACAAGGTGTTACCGATGGGACTTAGTATTGCCCCAGCTGTGTGGCAGGGCCTTATTACTCTCATTAATCGATCGCAAAAGATGGGCTGTGTAAATGGACGATATTTACTTCGGTTGCAGTCCTACCGAACCTAAGGGAAAGCTTCCTAACTTGCGGCATACACCGGATGAACTAACCTTCTGCCTAACTTCCAGTACTTGCCAGTTCGCCCTAGCGGAAGTAGAGGCTATTGAGCATGTTATTTATACCTCGGATATTAAGCCTACTGTACAAAACAACAGTGCCATTCTCGACTATCTAAAACCTCGCAATGTGACACAGATGAAACTTTCCTTGGGTTTGTTTGCTGAGCACCTTGGATATTTATGGAGTTTTTAACCATAGCCGAGTAGGTGCGGAGGCTGACACGTAGAAACCAAAGGTTTCACTGGACCACTGAACAACAAGCTACCTGCATGAGCATACTAGCGATGAACGCATCCACTCTTACGGTAGTGATCTTCAGTCGTCAGTGCCCAGCCTCTGTTCCAACCAAGGCTTCAGATATTGTTTTGATTGAACTTCTGTCAAGGCTACACGATGGTGAGGACAACGTGAGTACGTACGCACCGCGTGCTCTGTCCGACACTGAAAGAACTTACTCTACCCGCGAGAAGGAGGACACTCTAGGCTTCTGGTGTGTGAAAATGGCATTTTAACATATGCAAACCTCCACTCAATTTGCCGCTCTTACAACGCTATTGAGGTATGGTACCCAAGACCGACTCTGTTGTGGTTGTCACTTGCAGGAGTGTGAAATTTCTTAGGTGCTAGGTCGACATAACCAAATTTCAGATGTCAGGTCAAGACGTACACCGTCCAGTATAATGGGCAAATGAGGACTATAAAAAGATAATAGTAATAGTGCAGCTCTCAGACGGAATGCATTTTACTATAATGTTTTAGCTGATACGGGA